GAGTTCGTTCGTTTCGCCACTTGCTAACTGTTGGCGAATCGATGATGGCTAAAAAATTTTTGCTCATTTTCACTTGACCACTCATTCCTCCTTTGCTTGTCCATAGATTTTCTGCATTAGTAGCTTGATTTTTTTTGTAACGGAACATTCTTTAATACAAATGCAAAAAATTTACACAAAATCTGTTAATTTTTTTTTAATTTGTCCCCTGTTCAAGTTTGAATTTTTTTTTCATTTTTTCATCAAAAATTCAAAAAATCCGGAATGATTGATTACTTATATTTTATGGAAAACTCCATTTCCCAAATTTCAAATTAACTACTTTTCTTTGACTGAGTAACGGTAAATTGCAAATATCTCGAAGACGAATGCTTTACAAAAAAAATTAACTCGATTTTCAGAATCAACGAGAAATTTTACATAAATTGGAATTGGATAGTGGCGTACAAAAAAATTTTTTCTATAAACCGGTGTAATATATAGAATTTTCTCAATAGTTCGCCCTAAAATAAAAACAACAAGCCTGAACTCCCCTTTTCTGTCATCCAATCTCATTTCCGACAAGGTTGCTTCTTATGTTTTCCTTTATTTATGCGCCACTCTTCAATTGCTAGCCTAGCCGTACGCCTAAATAAGTTTGAAGTAGTTGGCAACACAAAAGTTGGCATTTCTAATGAAATGGATGGTGTCAAGCTGATAAAGTTTGTGGAATAATTTTTGGCCATGGAAATTAGCAAACAAAATTTTCAATAGGCTTTGTTGTGAACTTTTAATTTAAACCAAAACGAAGTCTTCAGTTTTTCGTTAATCTAATTTCGTCTACATGGCTCATGCAATCTCTGAGTACCGTTAACCGATTTTTCTGACTTGCTTACATAATTGTTGCCACCTTCTCTGACTAGCTTTATACTAACCATTATTTAGATCTCAGCAAAAGCAATTGTTTATAAATGTGCCTTTAATACATACATATGTATATGTATGAATGAATATGTGTGGTATTTCATTAAAAAGAAATCGTATCTCGACATTTGCCATTTTCCCTTCCAAGCAATATTCCAGTGAGTTCTCAAATTTAATTTCAATATTTTAACTATCCGTAGCCATCATAGTATTTCAAGAGACGCTTAATAAATATATAAAACTTGTCAAGGTAACTTATTATTTTTTAACACAAAGTCAAACTTTCTAAAGTCAGTTAAATTGTTTTAATAAAATTTCACAGATATTTTACTCAAAAATTAAAAAAAAAAGAAATGTAAATTAACTTTTACATTCATAGCTTCCGAAGACACTGCGGCTCTACAAACTTTTATTTACTTTTCGTTAAAAGAAAAATATACAACTTTTTATTTACAATTTAAAACGAAGGTAAATATGTTCGTATGTAT